AGAGAGCGCGCAGAGAGAGAGAGAGAGAGAGAGAGAGAGAGAGAGAGAGAGAGAGAGAGAGAGAGAGAGAGAGAGAGAGAGAGAGAGAGAGAAGAACACTGCAGGGCATGCACTCTTGAAAATAACAACGGCACTGCAGGCGGGCACACATGTGTTTTATTTGAAGAGAACACCTGTTTGTTTGAATAGAACAAACGTTTGTACTATTCGAATAGAACATACGTGCGTAAAATTTAAACGTGCGTACTATTTGGATTTGAGGGGGCAACTTTGAGAAATGGACTTTTTCAGGGAAAGTTGAATAGTACATACGTGCGTTTTGTTTGGGGGAAGACTGCAGTACCTCCTCCAGTGTTTGGAAATTAGGGAAACGGGCTGTTCTGAAAGAGTTCGGAGGGCGGGCCTTACGACGGCTGCCATTGATAAATCTCGTCGGCGGCCGTCGATTCGTTTCGGCCTCCTAAGAGGTTGGAGGCCCACCGAGGCCCACCGAGGCCCCACTATTTTCCCACTTGGCAAAGGTACTAGTGGTTTAAGGAAGGGGATACCGTGTGAGGAGAATGAACAGTAATGCAAGGAGGAACTCCCAATAATGAATAATAGCACGTGTCTGAATATTCCCGTGTGTTGTCGAGCTATGGCAGAGTCTACTTTAGAACCTGGAATCTATCTTCTCTCCAGCCTCTACAACCTACCGTCTTCACCTGAATAGAATACCCGGTCATTATAGCTGTATGTAGACTGCATGTTGGCCCAGATACAGCTGTAATGACCGACGTTCTAGTCAGGGGAAGATGGTAGTCAAAACCTCCCAGTAATACCTTCTTCACCTGAATAGAACACCTGGTCATTATAGCTGTATGTAGACTGAATGTTGGCCCAGGTACAGCGGTAATGACGGAAGTTCTATTCGGGGGAAGATGGTAGTCAAGACCTCCCAGTGATCGAAGCATGTTTGTTCCTTTTTTTTTTTTTTTTTTTTTCGGAAGCTTATTGGTTCCTTGTAGCGTTGGAGGCTTCTTTTTCAATATGGCTGTGGCTGGCAGACATGGCAGCCCGCCCACGCTCTCTCCGCTCCCACTTGGACGGCAGCAGGGCAGCAAGCATGGTGCACTACGCCAGAAGAGCTTGAGCTGCGTTCAAGGCAGGACTTGCGACTCCAACTGCAGCGGAGATACATTGCTGTGAGTGGGGCAATACTCCCCAAAGGCTCGCTGGGTGACTTCTGCTGCAACCGTTGGGCACTCATCTGGAAACGTTGTCTGGACCGTCGGATGTGTGTGCAATCTGTTGTCACATGACACTTCATTTTTTGGCCTTCAACCTTTCAGTACTTAGTTTTTTTTCCCTTCTTTTTTCCCTTCTTTGTGCTTCTGGTTGTGTTTCCCCCCCCCCCTCTTTGTGCTTCTGGTTGTGGTTCATGCTTTGCAGGCCGTTGCCCTCTTTAGGTCTTATTTTGGCGGATCTTTTGATGAGGATTCTATTCGAAATAACTTTGTCCTGATATATGAGCTTCTCGATGGTAAGTTTTTAATCGTTGCTGGCAATTTAAGTTTTTTATCTTTACTGGCAATTTTTAAGTTTTTAATCTTAGCTGGCATTTTTTATTTTTTTTTTATATTTGCTGGCATTTTCTTATGTTCAGGATGTGAAATTATGCATACGTATGCCTTGGGCATGGTTCATAGAAAACATCACTGGAATCTGAAGGGGGGAAGGAAAGCTGTGCATTTGAAGCTTGAACTCAACAGTGATTCCGCCAGCTCGGGAGACAAAAGATGGAGTGACTGATGGAGGGAGGGGTTTGTTGTGTCGATGTGGCGAATTTGTTACATGGCATTGTTGTCAACAATCATCAGCTTATCTCAATGGCAGGCGACGTGTGGAGAATGGGCCTCCTCCCTCCACTACTCAACATTGTAAATGTATCTGGACTGTCTTGTTTATCCAGGTACATTCTGATGGAACCAACATTCAGAATGTATAGGGACTCTTTCGAGATCCAGATACATTTAGAAGTTTGTGTAGGGTTTATCTCGCCGTCTATAAGCTTGAGGGCAAGCCTTGGTTTCAGCTCTCAGTTTAACTGATTACATGGATGTGGACTTGTTGTGCTCTCCTTCCTGGATGCACACACAGTCTGTAGTTTGGTACTGAAAATCAAAATCAAATGAGCTTTCGCCCTTTCTCTCCGCACGAGATTTCTGTTCTCGCCTACTGTCCTACCTTCTTCACCCCAATAGAACGAACGGTGGGTCATTAAAAAAGAAAAAAGAATGGCGGGTCATTTATAGCTGTATTTGGCACAATTTTCACTTTAGACACAGCAATGGTGACCGGGCGACGGAAGATGGTAGTGCACGCGTCTACGTTTTTAACTGCCATGTGTGAGAAATTCCGTGAACTCATGCTTGCCCGTAATAAGCAACTGGACTGCTGCCCCCCAGAATAGAAGAAGGGGCTTGTGTTGGTTAAAAAAAGAAAAAAAACAACGAAAAAAAAAATGACGCAAACTGGTTATGGATGGACTGCTTGTTCTCTTGTCCATGGACAAACGCAGTGTCACTGCCTGGGCAAGAACGATATGCCGTTTTCATGATTTTTTTTTTTTTTTGAAAAGGGCCGTTTTCGTTTTCATCCTTGGGATTCATTTTTTGGTGAGCCAGGAAACTTTTTTTTTATTTTTTTATTTTTTTTCTAATATTTGCAAGGAACATGAATATGGACGAAGCACAGAAATCCAGATTGCAAAATCACACTGAAGTCCAAGTAGTCAAAGCAAGAGCAGATAGCACAATGGAACCGAGTAACCATCCATTTGAGAATGATACAGAAGAATCGTGAGTCAATATCCAAGCCCAACAGGGCAAGACCAACAGCATAACCCAATGTAGCTCTCTCTCTTGAATGGCGCCAGGCGCCCTACCTACTCTAGAGCCTATCTCTGCGGCAATGTAGCTCTCAGGTTTTACCCAGCCCCCACACGCAGTGCACTGGCGTATTTTATACCGCCCCTGCAAGCCTCTGTCTCCCTCCACTTCATCGGCAGTGTGGTGTGGCAGGCCCCTCCCCTGTGGTAGGCTGGTAGGTTTTACCCAGCCCTCACATGCATCGCGCTGCGTATTGTATACCGAACCTGCAGGCCTCGGTCTCCCACCGCTTCATCGGCAGTCTGGTGGTTTGGATCGTGGACGCTCCTGAATCCTCCTTGCTGTTAACTTACTTGAAGTTTTGTGCTGCCTGCCTCCATATGTGCGTGCACGTACAGTCTTCCCCCGAGCATAATGCGTATGCAGCATAAACGAATACAACGCATAGGTTGCTTTCTATTCGAATACAATGCACATGCAATGCATATGCGGTGTATTTGAACAGCCCTTATTTTTGAATAATACAACACATATTCACTCTACTCGAATTTTTGATTTTTTTGAAAACTCTAATACAATGCATATGCGTTATGTTCGGGGGAAGACGGGTAGTTTCCTGCTTTTGTCATATGTGTGGACTCTGCAGAGTCTGGAAAGTAGGGAACTTCTTTGTTTTTGTTCACTTTTTTATGTTTTTTTTTTTTTTTTTTTCCCCCCCCCCCCCCGCTTGAATGCCATCTTTTCTGAATTCCGTTTTTTGAAATGGGTATAATTTGTGCAGGTTGGTTTAACTTGGTTGTTTTGTGGGTCCCTGAGTGCGTGTCGCTCTTTGAAAGATGTTGATTGCTTGTTTGCCCTCGCTTTTTGCTCCATGGTTTGCAGAAATCATGGATTTTGGTTACCCCCAGAATTTGTCGCCGGAGATATTGAAACTGTACATCACTCAAGTGGGAGTGCGGTCGCCGTTTTCGCAGGTACGGAAGGGCAGGATGTTGATATGGAAGGAAGCTCATGATGCAACAGACTTTGCAAAAGTGCGCTCTTTCTTGTTGGATTGCCGGAAATGGAAAAATCACGTGCGGGTGGAGTAGGTGTTCTCGCTCTAAGAGTCAAAAGGGAGGGACTGTCTTTATATATCCTGATGAGTTGGTGAAACTCCGACAAAACAGTCTGCCGCAGCCCCTTGTTTGTTGTCCTCTTCTCCCTCTCTTTGTTTGTTTACTGGGTGGCTCTGTTCAACGATATATCCGCTGCATGCAGATCAGAGAGCACTTAGGGCATACGCACAATAGGATGTTTTTGATTAAGCTCTGGACGTGATTACAGTTGTATGCATCCAGGCCTGAGCGTAGTTGCAGTCAGATACGTCTAGGGAAGTGTGAATATACAGTGAATGTGGAAGGTGTGGCTGTCGAATGCTTGTGCATTATAAGGTTGGTATAAGCTGTAGACTGTTGCCTATGCGAAACCTTTACCGGGCAAAAGCAACCAGAGCGCTGTTTTTTTGGATGTATGTATGAACCGCTGATGTAAGAAAAAACTAATCATCACTGTCACTGGTGCTCCGCCGGCCTTCAAACGGAAGTGCGGGTCAATAGTGCAAGAAAACTTTTGTCGGGGCCGTCGGCTGTCCTACCAGGCCCATGGCCTGGATTGTAGGCCTTATAAGTTCTTGAAGATTGGCAGCCGCCACACAGTACATCCAATCTCCCCTGCTCTGTGCCACAGTATACGTCTGTTTCATCCCATTCTATACCAGGGTGCGTGTTGGTGTGTGTGTGGGGGGGAAGAGAGAGAGAGAGAGAGAGAGAGAGAGAGAGAGAGAGAGAGAGAGAGAGAGAGAGAGAGAGAGAGAGAGAGAGAGAGAGAGAGAGA